ATATATTATATATATATATATATATATATATGTACACATGATATATAGACACATGCAAACATATATGTATGTGTATGTACATATTATAAATATTTAATACAATTTTTTTAAGGGAAGAAACATTTGCTTATTTTAAATATATATTTGATAATATCTAAAAATTACATTAATATACAAATTTTTAATGAAGAAAGATACAAATAAGCGCAAATAAAATAAAAATCTTTGAATTCTTTTTACAAGTAATTAATTTAAATCAATTAATATTATGTGTATAGTTATTATTTCGTTTTCTTTTCAGAAATGAAAAACCAGCACAGACGTGTGTAAAAAATGAACTGTCTATAGATGAATGTACGGATTCTACATTGGTTTCAATTTTCGTTAAAGAAGAAACAATTGTTAAGCAAGAAGATTGCAGTGTTCATTACAAAGATGTAAGTGTGAGGCATGAGTCTTCCAACAACCCACTGACGCAAAAATCTGAAAAACCTACAAACGGAGGAATTACTCATCAAAATTACTCAGGCATGAAAAAACAATTCACCAGACAAATGTTTTATGAGTGTAGCATATGTACGAAGCTTTTTAGATCAAAGAACTTGTTTGAAGGTCATTTAGTGGCACATAGCGACGCTCGACCCTATCAATGCGACGTCTGTGGCAAGTGTTTCAAGAGGACCAATACTTTAGCAGTACACCAACGAATCCACACTCACGAGAAAAACTTTGTGTGCGATGTGTGTGGTCACGCGTTTGTGCAAGCCTCTCAATTAGCCACTCATTACAAGCGTCACTTTGAGAAGTACACGACACACTGTGAGATTTGCAACAAGGGCTTCTTCACGAACGCCGAGCTCCACGGGCACATGAATGTGAAGCACGGCGCCAAGGAACACGTATGTACTGTTTGCAACAAGTCTTTCCCCAATAATCATACCTTGGTGCGCCACTTGAAAATTCACGATCCGAACTTCAAACCAGTAAAGCACCAATGTGAGTTCTGCGGCAAGACATTCGCCTACAAGAACTCGTTGGTAGTCCACGTCAAGTCGCACACTGGCGAGAACAAATATGACTGTCATTTATGTGGTAAATCCGTTTCATCTAAGGGATCCCTTCAGGACCATTTGCGTCTTCATGGCGGGGAGAAGTCCCTGGTCTGTGATGTTTGCGGCAAGGCTTTTCACAAGAGAACGACATTAGTCGTGCATAAAAGAACCCATACCGGCGAGAAACCGTACTCGTGCGACACTTGCGGAAAGTCTTTTACGCAACATTCGACTCTCGTTATACATAAGCGATATCATACTGGTGAGAGACCATATCAGTGCAGTTATTGCAGCAAGTCATTTGTGTCTAGAGGATTGCTTAATGCTCATAATAAAATACACTTTGTTAATGAAATAATGATGTAATCGACATAGTCATACAATTTGGATTTCTATTATACCGTCACACACAATTACATCTCGTGTTTAAAACATTATTGTGTATAGTGATATTATCAGACTTCAAGCGATGAAATAAAGTGGAACGATATTAATAAATGCCATATTTTGACATACCATTTATTTTGACAATGTCCATAGTGCTATATCAAATATTTGAACTTTAATATTTTTTACGGGATTCTTAATATGCTGTTATCATATGATATCTGACATTGTTTGTTATGGTTATAATTTTTGAATGTTAAAAAAATGATGTATTGATCTCTTATTTTTATTTTTTTATTGTTTTATTGAAATGTTATTTACAATGTATTAAAGCTTGTATCTACTCATTCCAGCCATCTTGAATTGTAGCGCCTGAGAATCGAACAAATATGAAAAAAAATTTTCGCATATTATATTAAATCCTATTGTTTAATGTATACATATAAAACAATATTCGCAATTGATAGAACAGATTTATATAAAATTTATCGAAAATTGGTACTCTAGTAATTATTTACGATTGAATTATGTTAACCAGAAAAACGAATCAAACTATATGTCGAATTAATATCAATTCAGATGAATATGATTGTATTCCGAAATGAAAGGAATTTTCCGAATATTTTACAATAAGTATATGATTCAAATTTGATTTTATTTGAAAAATGAATGGCTGAAATTTTATTATATTTTTTCGCTTCTGAGATCATCAATCTGAATTCTAAAGATTCGTTATTTATAATTAGGAGCCTTAAACAAATAAAAATTGTTCATTAAAAAAAATTGTATTAAAAAATTTTTCTATATTTCTAACATAAAATTTCATCTTTATCTTTGATAGGCGACGTATTATAAAGTGAATTGTTATTAAGAAGTTAATAAATTTAATTGTATTTTATAAAAACAGTAATTGAACAAAATTGTAAATTTAGCAAATGTCGATAAAATAACAAACAGAAGTATCAGAAAAGATATATGTAACATTATTTATTTCATACGGATTGCATTAAGAGCTATATATAATTATTTTTTATATTGAATATATTCCTGCATTATGTATTACTAATATAAATAAAAGTACTCAGAGTTATATATGATTATCAAAAATTGTTTTATCATATCGCTTTTTCAAATGTTTCCATTGTTTAATATATGACAAATTATATACATGTGTATATGTATAATATGTATTTATAATCTGATAATTTTCTGATTATTCTTTAACCAAATTATCTAATTTATTACATAATAAAACTACAAATTTGCACAAGTTCAGGAAATTTATTTACAGGAGTAGAAATAATTTGCTAGACAACGAGACCAGACAATGAAAGAAAGATCATTGCCATATAACCATTCGATACTGATATCCCCCTGAATTTTTCCATTTCAGGTACAACCAGCTACAGTTTCCAGAAGACTATTACCCGATGTTCTCTAAACTTGATCTGGTGAAGAAGAATGATGAATCTGCAAAGGCCTTGTCGAAATGCCCGGTTCCGGTGGACATCACTGACGACACAGCAGTTTCAACAAATCCTGAACAAGATGTTATAAAGCAGGAAGTAAACGATGAGGATGACGAGGAAGATCTTCCTTTGGCGTATCATTGTAAACTCTGCGGTGTCTTCTTTGCCTCACAGTCCTTGTTGGATAATCATGAGATCGAGCACAAAGGTAAGCGGAAGAACACGTGTACCCAATGCGGCCGGATCTTCAGAACTGGTATCAATCTTCGCAAGCACATGAAGACGCATTCGGTACGTAAAAGCAGCCGCAAAAGTAATTCTTCAGGAATGAGCGATCGTATCGCATCATTGAAAAATGTGAAGAAAGAAAAGCCTGAGCTTGAGTTTCTTTGCAAAACTTGTAACAAAGTTTTTCGGCACAAGAGCAACTATCAGAAACATTTATTACGCCACACAGTAGGCGATCTCCCCTGCAAACATTGTTCCAAAAAATTCCGGTTGTTTCGCGACTTAACAAGGCATGAAAAGACGCATTTTCTACCGAGTTATATGTGCAAGGAGTGCGATTATGAAACCACTGTTCTGGCGGCTTTGAGCATCCACATGACGCGACATTTGGACAAGGCGGATCTACCATTCAAATGCAATGAATGCGACAAACGTTTCCGTAAAAAGTTAGATCTTCAAGAACATTATAACATTCACTCGGGCGAGAAACCGTTTGTTTGTCAACTCTGTAACAATGCTTTCTACTTAAGACGGCAGCTTTCCGCACACTGCAGACGCACGCATCCCGAGCTGAAAGCCAACAAAGTGACTAGCACCGCTTGTGATATTTGTGGTCGCGTACTTGCTACGAAGAGGTCACTCTTCCGACACAAGGAAAGCCACAATCCGACGAAGCTATATCTTTGCGATTATTGCGGAAAGAGTCTTAGCAGCGCTGAACATTTGAAGAAGCATAGGCGGATCCATACCGGGGAAAAACCTTACGTCTGCGACATCTGTGGAAAGGGTTTCACCGATTCCGAAAATCTAAGGATGCACAGGAGAGTGCATACAGGAGAGAAGCCGTACAAATGTGACCAGTGTCCGAAAGCATTTTCACAGAGATCAACATTGACTATTCACAAACGCGGACACACCGGGGAACGACCTTATGTGTGCCAGATATGCCATCGTGGATTCTCTTGCCAGGGCAACTTAACAGCCCATCAGAAGTCTACGTGTGTTTAAGAACTTCGACTTGTTTTATGAATGACTTCTTGTTGATAACACGATTTCCGTTTACGACCACAAGACGATTAAGCTAATGACGACTACATTTAATGATAACAACAGTACGATAGTACGTGCTTATGCGTTGTTACTTATGTATCGTAACAACAGAACAAACAGAAATTTAAAGAAGTTCGAATTATTATATTATCTATCATTACGTTGGACAATATCGACGAAGCGTTATACTCACGATGTTGATTCCGATAACTTCTCGATAAATTTCTACAATGTCTTTTGTATACTGGTTATAACGTTTACGTAAATGTTTGCATGCGACGCTCAAAAGATAAGAATACGCGCGATATTTGTCCGATCGGTTCTTCACGAATTATACGATTATATATTTGTACTATCGTGCTCAAAGTGTTCCGTTACGAATATTGTTGTTCTATTTTTTCAATGTAGATAAGGATAACTTTTAAGCCGAATAATGCCAATGTTGTTGAAAGATAAATTCGTTTTCTTTTTCTTATGTTTCTCTTTTCTTTTCTAGAGTTTTTCTCTAAGATGAGACTTCAGACTTATTCGTATGAATGTGGATAAATGCATGGATAAATTTTATGTTATCATTGATATTCGTTACTATACGTTTAATAAAATAACTCGTACATAAAAAAGTGTTTATAACTTCGAAATTATCTTTGCCGATTGTTCCTTGGTTTTGAAGTAAGAGAGCGTCATTATTTCCAACATCTGCATGAATTGCCAAATTAGTCCTTGGGTCATTCTCGTAAGAAATTTTGGATGAGTTGACAAGAAAAAGTATTCATATCATATGTATGTATCACTGTCTTGACAATATGACTGCATTTAAAAATAAATGTTGAAAAATTATTGTTGTTGCTTACAGAATTCTTGAAGTCGGAAAGTTGATGGGACAACGTATCAAGAATGAATCTAGTCAAGAAAAATCCGAGATGTACAATCATACGTTAGAGATAAAATCAAATTCGACGATAGGAAACTTGATAATCAAACAAAAGAAGAAAAAGGAAATATATAAGAAAGTATATGATGAAAACGTTGGAAATATTACGATTAATACTGAAAAAGAAAAAGGAAAGAAAAGTGAACGTACGATATATAAATGTCCTATATGCCATGCGACTTATTTTCTGCTCTGTAGATATAAAGAACATATAGTGAAGCACAGCGATGTACATCTTTGCATGATTTGTGAAAAAACCTTTAAATGCAAGTCGGATATGAATAATCACATGAAGATTCACAGTAACGTTACGTATACTTGCGATCTATGTGGTTTGATCTCGAGAGTTTCGTTTGATGCCCATATTTGGCGGGTGCAAAAGCGTGACTTTCGACGTTGCGAACAGTGCTACGTCAAGGGATTTATGTCAAATTTTAATCTCGAGGATCACAACTATTACAAGGTGAGTTATCGGCACCATAAACTTCGTTTTGCGATTATTGTGGCAACGCTTACTTGCAGAAATCATACCTGGCTGCACAGAAACATGTAATTTATGGGATTCAGAAGTCTGCACTGAGACAACATCGGTGCAATCGTTGCAGCAAGAATTTTAACTCAGAGATCACTCTTCGCAATCACATGAGCCTGCACTCGGAGAAGTTTTTGTGCGCCAAATGCGGTAAAATGTTAGCGTCGAATCAAGCATTACAGCGACATGAACTTACACATACTGGTGAACGGCGCTACCAGTGCATGTTATGTTCGAAAACTTTCGCGAGATACGCATATGTCAAGATACATAAGCTCATTCATACAGGCGAAAAACCATACAAATGTGATATCTGCCAACAATATTTCACGCAACGTAGCAGTGTGACGACACATTGTCGCAAACGACATTCCGGCATCAATGTTCCAACGTTACCGGACCACCACTATTGCCGCTCAGTTGACTTGAATTGATCTGAAAGCCAAACTAACAACGAATTTGATTGAACATACTCAATGTACATTGGTGCATATTAAAGTCATACATAAATAGACTTGAAGGTGTATGTTTAATATAAATATAAAATAGATTAAACATTGAAATCTTCAATACATTTTATTGTGCGCTGTTAAGTAAAATATATTTATGTTCGAAATATTTGCATTTCACTTTTACACTAAGATCAAATCAATGTACAAAAATTGTAATATGCACTAGTGCGCATTTGTGCACTCAATCGAATTTGCTATAAGTAGCTGGTACGATATACCTATTCGTTGATATTTTTTTTTTTTTAATGTTTGATATGGTATTTAAACAATGATATTGTAAATACTTTTAAGAAATATTAAGTCAAACAAAGCTAATTTTGTTTCTATCCTAACATACTTAATTATTTAGTGCTTAATCTTTAGAAATTGTATGATACCAATAATATTAAACATACCAGAGAGTTAAATTATTTTACTAATATTTTATTGAATATTACTACTAAAATTTCTTGATTTTGACAGTGTGGTGTATGTTCCGTGTGTGACTGAAATTATTGGATGTTTTTAGGGGACTATGGATGATAATGTGGGATTGTGATATTGTATATGTTGGAAAGTGATTGGAATACATGATGAAGTGATAGAGACTATTTCTAAAAAAAATGTAAGGAAACGTTATAATCCAGCAAAAGAAAACAGAAAAAAAGATTATGACAATGAACAATAAAAAAGAATAGAAAAATAGAAATAGAAAAAGAAGTTGATAAAAGGGAGACAATCGAGACAATTCTGTAAATTTCTAATGAATATGTTAATTTATTCGTTTTTTATGTTTTTGCAATAATGTAATTTTATATATATATATATATCATTAAAATCTTTTGATGTTTTTTTGTTACAAGTGCGTTTAGTTTTATTTTTTGTTTAATTTTAGTTTTTAATAAATGTGAAAAATATTTCGTTCTAGAGGTATTGTTATTATATGTAAAAAAAGTTAACTTGAAATCATGTAAAGAATACGTTACAAACTGGCAATTGTGATGTATTAATAGACGAATCTTTATAACGATAAATTATAAAGGCTCGAAAAACTGATTTACATAATACTATTGCTTCCAATTATTTAAATTATCTGGTATTATATGTACATAAATATTTCTTTTAAGAATACAAAGTATAAATATTTAGTACAGCCAAATATTTTTTATAAAATGGATGGAATATGTTTGATATGTATATGTTTGATTAGTAATAAGGTATGTATATAATTTCGTATTGTGGATGAGTGTTTGGATAATCGTTTGTAACTAAACAAACGTTAATAAATAAAAAATATTGTATTTTTGCAAGATTTATTTATATAATTAAGTACATTAATATTATTACGAGTATAATATTGGATGTACACGGAAAAAGATGATGTAGTAATAGTGTATTAGATCTTATTTGAAAATAATCTTAAATTTAATAACAGTATTAATAGAATAAATACATTTGTTTTATTAAAACAAGAATATGTAATGAAAGATTAATGTTGTTAATACATCATTTTTTTCATTTGTGAATTGATAATTTTATAAGATTTATCGATGATATTCTTATTGCGTAATAATTAACTTTAATTTGTGCAACAAAAAATATTTTCCACAATTTTTACACTCTTTAAAGTTTATTTTCTTAAATTTATTTCAGACTCGTTCCATCTCTCTGGATATAACGGGATACAAGTGCGTGTAAAAATTTTATATAAAAAATATTGAAATGTGATAAAAATATGCGTAATTTTCTAATGCTATTTCTATGAAAATTGTTTAGTAATTGATGAAATTAATAGTGACATCCGCAATGTAACAACACAGTGAGATTTATTTTATTACATATAGTGGCTATAAGAAAGTTTATTTCTTATTACACTTACTTGTCTACTTGTTATTTGTATATATGATTAAAACAAGTATTAATACTTTATACACTGACATGATTTATCCCTGTTTCAGGGAAAAGCCTATTATCAGGCAGACAGGAAGGCAATATCAAAAAGGACCTGTTCGTTTTGTCTCCATTTTGCTGGGCTCATTGAAACCAGTTCAAAGTGATTCTACAAGCAAACAACTTAAATCTGTTACAACGCAATGTCAAAATGTAAATAAACTGATTAATGTAGATTTGTCACTAAATTCGCAGAATTTATCTGCAACAACCGTCAAGGACAGTATTTCAATTCACAATGTTCGATCTTTGTTGAATGCGAAATCATTACAAGTCTCCGATTCTCGGAATTTACACAAAGAAATCACCGAAGTAGATGAAGTCATGGAAGAAATAAGAAACACGTGTCCATTTTGCGAGAGGCATTTTGACAATGCAAAGCAAGTTGAGCGACATGTCAAATATGTGCATCGTAAACCGTATCAATGCGACAAATGCAAAAGAACTTGTTATACGTCAAGAGCGCTGGAGGCGCACAAAAAGATACACCGGCCGGACTATTTCTTTGAGTGCAAAATTTGTCATGTAAAGTACAAAAGTGAAGATGGACTAAAACGACATTACATTCGCGCTCATAGCGATTATGAATCAAGATACATTTGTGAACATTGTGGTCGCGGTTATAAGCTGAAGATCGATCTAACGCATCATATGAAGAGAACTCACATATCGGATCTACAAATCTGCCGCTTTTGCGGCAAAAAAGTCAAGGATGTCAAAGGTCACGAGTGGCGGCATCAGAAACGAAATCGTGAAATCAAGTATGAATATCCGTGTCATCTGTGCCGTAAAAAGTTCCACCACAGAAGCAGATTGGACAATCATCTGATGTTGCATGAAAAAGGTTTCAAATGTGAGATTTGTGGCAAAGAATATAGTGGCACTCGCGAACTCACAAGCCATAAACGTTTCAAGCACGGCCAGACTAACGTCTCCACTTGTATTCTGTGCCAAAAAGCGTTCGTGTCTATGAGTAATTTTTATCAGCATGTGCTCACCCATGCCAGCATACGGCCGTACACTTGCGATGTCTGCGAAAAGGACTTTACGCAACGCTCTAGTCTGCTGAGACATAGAAAGCATCATCCTGGACCATTACCGCCATTATCATCGTCGCATCCACAAATAGCCGAACTCGCCAGGAATTATCTTGAAAAGATTAAAAGTGACCATATTGATAAGAGTTTCGTATTGGATTCACAATCGATTGACGATTGATGTTAACAAAGGATTGTAAAGTGATATATATAAATATATATATATATATATATACACACAATAGAATATACGATTCCTAAGTATAAGTGATAAGTTTTTTCGATTGTATCTTGTGTATGAACAAAGTTTATATTTACATGATAATATTATATCTTTTCTACAGAAAAACACTGATATATTTATGCATATTTATAAAAAAATATTCTTATCATTGTTTTTTTTTTAACATTTGATAAATGTTTTTGTGTACATTAACAACTACATCAAAAGAAGAAATCTCTACATTAATATTTATATTGTGCAAAATAGAAATTTTGCAAAACAGTGAACGTTAAAAATATTGAGTTAAGAATTTTATGCAAATATCAAATTATAAAATTTGATAAAAAAATATGAAATATACAACGATTTAATACACAAATAAAATGATATGTTTAAATGTTTTACTTAATTATTTTTAAATTTTAGAACACAGGAGTATTTGTGTTGACTTAAATTATAATTTTTATTCAAATATGTATTATTATCGTAAAATAATAAATTATAGAGTTAATTATTAATTACATGTATGAAAATACTGAAAGCATTATTTTGTATAAAGAAATACATACGAACTATATATAATTGAATCTGCTTAATAAACACTTGAAATTTGAATCATCGTATGACAAGTTTAACATAGATGTTTTGATTATACAAAAGATTGCGATTTCCGAATAATTTATATTTTCTAATTAAATCGTAGATTTTTATTTTTACCACATAGGTAAGCTTTACTTTTATAAGTTTTAGTATTTTTTATTAAAAATATTCTAGTTTTGAATTAATTTTGAAGTATACATTTTTTTAGAATAATTTCAAATATGGGAATATTTTGTACGAGAAAAAATTTTTCTTTATATTTTGTATACACAAATTTACATTTAAGTGATTATAACAATTGTGATTTGTTAAATATAGCGTACATTAAATAATTTTTTTTTTACTTATTAAATTCATCAATGTTTCAGGAATCAATGAATTGTGTTAAACGATTGTATATGTATGTCGAAAATGAAACATGTTACAAAGAATCGAAGAATCTTTCAAAGGAAGATTAAAGTCTTAAACAGACGATTAAATAAAAGAAATTAGTTTTTATTAAAACTATATACATATTATACTTTATGTGTGTATAACTTTATATATATAACTACATATGTACACACAAATTATTTATATATATGTATATATGTCTATTAATATTAAGTAATTTTCTTGAAGAATATTTGAAAAACAAGGATAAGACAAGAAATTTATCGAATATTAAACAATTCACCAATTTACACTTTGTAGATTGAGATTTTAAGAATCTTTAAGCTTATCATGACGAATAAAATTTGTTCGCGCAATTTAACGAAGTTTTAGCCACATTAGTAAAGAATTGTAAGTCTGAGATATGGTATTCTTATATATGCAATCGATTGATTAACAGATTTATTGTTTGTATATAATCAATTCGTAAAATTGAAATTTTTCACGAAGATGAATTGTCAAAAATGCAAAATTGATTTTGTTGAAACTTTAAGTTGGTGGATAATTATTTGCTGATCTTTCATCGTCAAAATTATATTAAAAAATGTAAAGCTCTGATGAAGCGTTACAAATTTCATGACATGAAATGCAGGATACAAAGCACGACTTCATCTACTCTTGCAAATCATGTGACATTTGTGACGTGAATTTTACGTAGCGATTACATCTCACGAGGCATGGAAAAAATCTTCATAGATTCTTATTATCATTTGTTTTGAAAGTGTATTTTATTTAAAATGTTTTACGATTCTTTAGTTTAATCTTGTTTTTCTTTATTTATTAATAAAGGAGTAAATATATATACAAAAATGCAGATGTTGCACTTATGGTACATATTGATTATTCAATTACAATTTCTGGACTTCAAAAACATTATTCAAAGTAAAAATTAATTAAATAATGTGTTACATATTGTGATTATTTTGAAAATGTTTTATTATTTTTGTTTATTTAATATCAAGACTATTATGCATATTTGGATTTTTATAATGCATTGCATGATAAAATTAACATTTAGTTTTAATTATACAGAAAAAAATTTAATTTTTTTATATAAATTAAATGCAACAAATAATTTAAATAAATATTATATACATATTATACGTCATTATAAAGCATATTTATGTATTAATGTAACATAGTTCAACGTTTTACATTTTTTAAAGTGTAAGTTAATTTGTCAGTTACTATTTATTGTTATAGATATTTAAAAAAATATTAGAATAACAACGAATATTTACATCTAAGGAAGTATCTTTGTAAGCAGTAGAGAAAAATTATTTTTATAGACTTTAGCTTTGCTTCTTTATTAAAACTTTTAGCTGAAGTTGCACCATGCATGCTCGCGTGCAATCAGCACGTCCATATCCTCATTATACTAACGAATAAAAATCAACTGACTGATTTTTATAATTTTTTAGGTCCAATCAGCTTGATCCACTATCATCAACTTTTCTGATAGTAAAACTGGAAGACGATTATTTTCGCATCCCAAAGTCATTGAGCGTGTTTATGATGAAAGAACCTCCACCTATCGAAGAAAATAATTTCAAAGTTAAGTTGAAAGAAGAAGAGAAAATAGAAAAGAATAATCCTGATGAGAAGAATCAAGAACTCGTTGAGGCGAGAGAGAAAAATGAAATTGCCATCGACGATTTAAACGATCTGGATGATTTGGATGATTTAGATGATGCTCCTTTAGATTTCAGGAAACGGCGCAAAAATGAACTTTCAAAAACGCGATCCAACAAACACACGACTAATCCAAAGAAAAAGTCGCATATCTGCCAGATTTGTCATATTACGTTTGACCGTAAGAGCAAACTTACCAGTCATATGTACAAGCATAGCAATTCACGTCCGCACAAATGCACGATCTGCTCCAAGGGCTTCAAGACTAGTGCGTATCTTTCTAGGCATATGGAAATCCACGACGAGCCCGCGCAGCTTCACGCGTGCACGCTATGTGAATTCAAGGCACGCACGAAACCGTATTTGAAGATACATTATATTCGCAAGCACACAGAAGATTACAACTATAGCTGTGAACAATGCGGCAAGATGTTCAAAGTACAATCTGACTATACAACGCATATGAAGGATCACGATACAGAATCCTGTGTTTGCGACATATGCGGCACGTCTTATCCCAGTAAAAGTTCTTTGTACTTCCACAAGCATTACAAGCACAAGACGAAGATTAAGGAGTTTGAGTGCCAAGTTTGCAGAAAGCGCTTTAAGACTCAGAAAAATCTGGACAGTCACGCTGAGCTGCATAAAATGAAGTACGTCTGTGAGCAGTGTGGTATGGAGTTCAAGTTTAAATACGGTCTCACGAAGCACCTCAGGACGCACTCGGGAGAAAAGTCGTATCTTTGCGCAATATGCGGCAAAACCTTCGGCTGTCTCAGTTCACAAAAGATTCATTTGTTGACTCACGTTGGCGAGCGACCTTATGTTTGCGACATTTGCGGTCAGAGCTTCACTCAGCGATCGCCAATGATGTTGCACCGTAAAAAGCATCCTGGTATACATCCACCGCCTCCACCTATTAAAATTACGAATCTCCTACACGGCGTGCAAGACAGAATTGTTGTAAATAAAAGTGCCAAGTGACTCGTGTATAAACAACAAATGAACATGTGATATAAAAAGAGTGACCTTGTGGTTCTCTAATATGCATACATAATTTCTAAAAGCGCGTGATGTGCAAACAGATGATTTTAAAAATTTATTATTTCAGTGGCAATAAATTTGTAATGTAACGCAATTTGAACAATCTCGCCTACATCAAAGGCGATACATATTATTATCTTATGATATATAGATTTCAAAATTGGAGGATTCTTTTCTTGATGGTATATGCTGCTATTTTGGTATGTTGACTTTGTATTTAAATTTGTTCAACAATTTACTTAAAAATAATTTATCAATTAATACTATAACAGATTTTTCAGGTTTACGATTAAATTATAACATTCTGCAATCAAGTGTTTATTTACTGTGATAAATTTTGAATATTTGAAGATTGTAATTATCTTCTGGAATTGCAAAATTATTTTTTTTTTTAAGCTTAACATACTCGTGTTATGATTTACAATAAATCTGTTGACAATGTAAATACAGCATAAAAAAAGTAAAGCCTGTATTAATCTAATATAGATGTATAAAAATTATGTCTAGATATAATGTTTCTCCTATGTTATGCGGTTTTTTGGATTTGTTCATCATGTAATTATATTTTATTTTTATATCGAAGTCTTCCAATCTTGTTTATGAATTGAGTTTAGTGTTAAATATATCACCATCTTTGCAATATCAAATTCAATATCTTCGAAAAAATACGATAAAATTATAATTTTTGTTAATGAGAATGTTATCTTCTATTCAATTTTTTAATGGAAATTTATTTTGATAAAATTATCAAAAATATTATTTTATGAGAATAATTCTCGCCATTCTTGCTTTTATCTTATGGGATAATGCAATGTATAAAATGGTGTAAAATACTAAATAAATACATATGTTTTTAGTAAATGAATATATTTACACTTTCCACGATTAAAATATACATTAATGAATCCTTAAAAAAAAAACTTTTAAATAAAATTTTTTGATTAACATAATAAAATATAATATGGAAGATGTTTGACAATTAATAATTAAACTCTTGCATAGAGATAAAATGAGCTATACCGAATGGAAAAGTCCTGTACCATTTTGCAATTTTCGCGGTTAGACAGGCGAAGACACACACTTATTCGGGGCGATTTTTAAAAATTAATATATTTGTTAACCATTGTGAAAATTGCAAAATGGTACAGGATTTTTCTATTTAGTTTATTCCAGTCTATCTTTATGCAAGAGCGTAATCATTACTTATAAACCATCCTATATTATGATTATTGGATAGTAATCGCGTTTTTAGTAATAGAAAACAACTATTTTGCTATTATAAGGGATGTCTTTAAAAATATTTAAAGATAAAAAAAGATAAAAAAATTGTTATTTTTAGTTATTAGCTAATTGTAAGTTATACTAACAAGATAGAATCTTTTTTTAAAAAATAAGTGCGAAGGAGGATATAATATAATAAAGTTAAAATATAAATGTTTTATTAACGAATATGAATTTTATTAATAACATTAAATCGACTGAATAAAAAAAGGAAAATATATTACTTTTAAATATCAAATTCAGATATTATTAACACAAAATTGATATACATACGTTTTTAAAGTAAAACATACCTATAACATAATGACAGTATAACATAATAACAAATGTGTACAATGTATTTTCTATTTTATTCACACAAGGATTACTTAAATATAATGCAATAAAAGTTGTAAACATGTTTAATATGAAGAAAACCTTTTTTAATAACAATTTACAATTTTATATTACATTATATCATAATATTATATTAATGTTATATATATTAAATAAATATAATATTTAATGTATTTTGTGTAAAGGGGTTTTTTTTTACAGTCCGTCTACAGACAGTCTGTATATATAAATATGTGTTTTGTGCTCACTGATTTATTTTTCTTACTTTTAGGTCGTGTGTCTTCTTGAATAAAATTTTTTTGAGATTCAAAGTAACCATTCAACTATCCATTTCTTTTGTGCCGATACAAGAGTTTTATAAATTTGTCTAACAATAAGATGAAGATAAAAGTGATATTGTAGAATCGTCGTGTCTTTTATCATTAGTAAAAATGAAAGCTGTTGATGAATCTGTGAAGAAGAAAATAAAAAAGACAAATTAAATTTAATATTAAAAATATACAGTGAACATTTAAGTTGAAAAAAATTTAAAGGAATTGTAAATAATATTTGCGGAGGCTGAAGAAGGGCAATATTTACAGAAAATTCTACAGAACCAATTATTTGTTATAAATAGGCATGCAGTGCATTCAAACGAGTACAAGTTTCATATGCAACAAAATTGCAATTTTTGAAGCAAGAGAATCTCGATAACCATATGCGGCAGTATGATAGGATTTACAATTATAAAAGTTGCAATGTTCAACTTGAAGAGATGTTTAGTCAACCACTTAATGACAAATCATTGCTATGACTTATGCGTATAAGTTATCAAAAGGAGATGTAACTGTTCGTAAAAAATATTAGATGCACTTACCGTCTTCATCTATACTTCTTAAAAAGAAAGCAGTTATTTTATTTGTAATGGCGAATTTAGTTTTGTATACATGTAATTAATAAATCTACTTGTTTAAATATTATAAGAAAAATTGTGAGTTGATAAAAGATAAATCAAAATAGAGCTTAAACTAATTATAAACATATTTGCCTGAAACAGTTATATTTATTAAGTGATTTTTATTTTACATATCAGATTATCTGAAATTTATATTATGTTATTTTCTATTAATTTCTAATTTATATATAAGTATAAATTTAAATTGTGATACATAGTTTTAATAAATCAATTTCATGTCCTTTTAATATCCTGGAAGAAAACGTATTTTATAATGTATTTTTGAATATAAAAAATGAATGAATTTGTAACTTGCGAATTATATAATAATTCTACGATTTAATCGTATTCTAAACTTTCTTGTACATCTTTTAGACCTGGAGTAAGTAGTGATTGAGATGTTCAAATCCTAACAATATTATTGCAACTAACCGCTGTATTTTATATGTTTTAGAGAACAAAACTGCAGCGAGAAGATGGACGCTTCTGGTTGCATTATTGCTGAAAAAGATTCAATACCGATGAAACTGTGGCAGCACGCTGATACTGATGGTAAACTGCAGTATTCGTTAGTACCGATGTTAAAAAACGTCCGTAAAACTGATGGAAGCATAAAGGTACTTAATGTATTGGCTCCTATTAAAGTCGAAAATATTGGGAATCAACAGAGCAATAAGAAAATTAGCGGATGTGGCGTCAGTAATTGCATGAATTCTTTAATGCGTTTGCACAACGTAGTCATCGATAGTTACACTTGTAACAAGTGCAATATGAAATTTCCCATGCAGTCTATGCTAAATCGCCACAAAATAACACATAATATGCATTCATGGCTTCAAGAAGGACGCCTGAAAGAAAAGTACATGCTATATTTAAAGACGAATGTTCGAAGACCATCCAAGCAATTGAAGATGCGTTTACAGGAAGCAAAATACGGGAGCAAATATGTATTTTACGTTTGTACTTTTTGCGATTTTGATTGTAATAGATTGGCGACTTTGGATGCGCATGTAAAGAAGAAACATAAGAAAGAAGTGGCTAAAACAAATCCTAAGAAGCTCAATTGTACGATTTGTAATTATGAATGTTTGAGTGAAACGAATCTAAACATGCACATGCGCAAGCACAGAAACAAGAATACGATGAGTTTTGTTTGCAATGTGTGTGATTTTGAATGTAAAAGAAGCACTACTCTAGCATCACACTTGGCACAAAATCATAAGAGAGCTAAGAAAAATTTGAAGGCAAATTGTACGAAAAAAATACGTAGAATAATGAAATGTAACTACACGTCTCTCAAGAAGACTAGTCCATCAGCTTGTTCGTACAATCGTGGAACGGCTCAGACTCCTGTGTTAATCTTGTCCGAGGATTCTAACTTAATAATTAAAAAGGAAGTTAGTGTTGAAGATAGCAATGAAACATCGGCGATTGCTACTGACGTTCTGACGAAATCTAATCAGAAAAAACCATCCGTTGAAGAACATTGCGATCTCTGTGATTTTACGTGCACAAAAAAAAGCACGCTATACTCTCATAAACGCCGGCACAAAGTGGAGGACGTCAACAAGGTGTACGCATGCAACGAATGTGGATTCAAAACCGTCAAGAAGTCATCGCTGTACTCTCATATCAAGCGAAAGCATAAACAGTCACAGTCGTGCGATGGCGATGTGCAGCCGGAACTATTTTATTGTAACCAATGCGATTATAAGAATAAGAACAAGTACGAATTGAAAATACATGTTGCGCGCAAGCACACGGATGACTTCAAGTTTTCCTGCGAAACCTGTGGTAAGAAGTTCAAGGTTAAGGGCGATCTGACAAACCATATACGTTTCAGTCACCGGGAGCAACCGGTGATCTGCGATGTTTGCGGCAAGACTTGTCTCAATAGCAACTCTTTGTACGTGCACCAAAAGTTTGCACACTACAAGGCCAAGTACGAGTGTCAGATATGCAAAAGACGGATGGTCAGCCAGGAGAATCTCAACGAGCACATGCTCAGACAGCACGAGCGCAGAGAGAACGTAGTATGCGAAGAATGCGGCAAGACGTTTTCGCGAAACAGTAGATTGAAAGTACATATGAGGATCCATACCGGGGACAAACCATACAGTTGCACCATCTGCAATAAATCCTTTGCCCGCAGGACAGCTCTCAAGCAACATCTACTCATTCACACTGGCATCAGGCCATATGTATGCGATATCTGCGGCAAGGCTTTCACTCAGAAGCCGGGTCTGATTAGTCACAGGAAGTCGCATCCAGGTTCCCATCCACCTCTGCCGCGCGTCCTTATCGACCATATTTTGAACGATGTTCTGAACGGTTGACTTAGTGATTGATTGGTGTAAACTTTGTATGAAAGATTCCAATGAATATACTTTTTGTACTATCGTAGGACGACAGTTGTATTCCAAAATTCATTGTTAGTGCCGAAATCTTGTAGTGCATATAATATAAGCTATAGATTTTTAGCATACTAATGAATTTTGGAACTATGTAGCTAGTGTATAAAAAATAATATGGTAAATGCGTGGGTCGTTCGATAAATTCATGTAAAGTCTAAAATATACCATCATCAGTACATATCGAGATTATTTTTAGTATTCGGCAACTCTTAGATCACACACCAAATTTCAATGAAATAGATCTATCATTCTGTGTTTGGCGTTCATTTGAATTGATCAAGTACTGTGATTTGTGAAAAATAAATTTAGGTACGCTACAAAATCCTTCCACATTCCTCCTATTTTCTAAATTTGGATTTTGTAGTATAAATCGAACCATTTTGCGGTTACACTACACGAAATTTTTTCTGATCTATTTTTCGCAAGCCATGAAACTTGATCGATTCAAATGAACGTCAAACAAAATAATTGATCTATATCACTGAAATTTGGTGTATGATTCTCCAAGAGTTGCCGAATGCTAAAAATAATCTCGATACGTACTGGTGGTGCTATATTTTAGATTTTGCATTGACTCATTAAACTACCCTTGTATAGCGAATAGGGAACCCCCTTTCAATGATCTTGAATGAGGGAATGTATAGGATAGTTTTTAATACTATATATGGCAGAAATAAAACGTTATTTTTCAAACTTTTTAACAAAGAACGATGGATAAAACCTGTTGGAGGTCACTCAGGATCATGACCTTCACAACATATGTCAAGGTCATTGGAAAAGGGTACTCTATTAGGTATAATTACCAAAAACATGTTTGTGTTAATAATATTTATATATTATATGAATTAGATACTTTCATTATACGAATTTTTTATCAAGTGATATCTGGAGGTAATGGTATATATAACAATTTATATCGCATAAGACAATTCAATTAATATTAAACCAGTGACACACGATGCTTGTTTTCTTGTTGGATTGCTAGCTGGATCAGATTTTTGTCATCGAATTGGCTGCGATACTGGCACCGTCAGCACCGTAGCCAATATGGTGGCAATATTCTAATTAAGCTAGCAATCTAGCAGGGGAAAACAAGCATTGTGTGCCGTTGACTTGATTTAAAAAGAATTTTAATTACCATATATGTATGTAAACCTTACACATATTTTTATGTTAGAATTTGTATGCATTAAGTCAATTTAAAAAAAATGAAATCTGTTTCTAAAGCTTGTTAATTTATTTCGTTGTGCATTATATTATTGTCATTTAACTTTGTTTAATCCGTTAATTAAAGAAGAATAATTAAAATATAAGAATTTTATTAAACCGTACATGTAAAAAAACAAGAATTATTATATTAAAATTTGAAGTTTTTAAAATGAAATTGTGTGTATTTCATAATAGTGTTTTATAAAACAATTGATTGTTGAATCTTATTAGATATTCTGGTAATATATTTGTTATCTTTTTTTTTTAACATTCATATTATAAATATATGTATGCATAAAATCATTGTACAATTATTCGCGCTTGTAAGTGTGAATTTATTGCTAAAAGGTATTTAAATTACATCTTAATATTTGAATGGTATATATTTTTCATGTATAGCATAATATTTATATTCTAGATTTAATATTATGTTAAAAGATATATATATGTATATTATAATATATATGATCAGCTGTAACTGAATGTAATTGAACTATTTAGCATTACAAAATGTATAAATTATTACATAACAGAAATTTTTGCTTACCACTAGGAATAAGTATGACTGACTTGCTGTTGATTGTAATTTTTGAGAGATTAGAAGAAATAATTAGAAAATGATACATAAATAACAAAATTACAAACTTATGTTTTATGTAAAATATTCACCTTATTTATTTATATGAAAAGATCCTTTATTCTCAATTTCAAATATTAAATTTATTTAGAAGGATAAAAGATATAAAATTACGAAATAAATGTTCTGAAATAATTTGCAATCGATAATAAAATTGCTAACTAACATATTGTATTATTTTCAGGATCATGTATGGAAATGGATGTTTTCTATATGGCAAAGAATCTATTTCAATGCAGCCATGGAAAATAGTTGACCTGGAAGGATGTCTCTATTATACCTTCCTTCCAGCAAATCTCATGTCAAAAATAGAAGAGAATCAACGCAATCAAAAACAGATTGTCGAAGTAGAGAAAATCGATAATATGGAAAACTTTGAAATTCTAAATGATAATATAATTTATACAGACGGATTAAACACTGTTTATGCAGTAGACGTAAACAAAAAGAATGTCTTGCCGGTGGACACGCTAGAAGATACGGATGACGAGGAACTTCAGAATAAAACCGAGATATATAGTTGTGATAAGTGTAATACTTGTTTTCCCATGAAGCAGTTGTTAAAGTATCATTTGGATATAGTGCACAAAGAGAATGAAATAACTTTTACATACAACTGCAGTTACTGTAGCTATTCAAGTAACAACAGATCGACCTTTTACTCGCATCTTAAGAGGAAACATTCCAAGCTGCGCGTTAAAAAGAAAATTAAATGTAAAAATATTATCAAATCGCAAGAATGCTCATGTTTCATTTGTGGATTTAAAACTCTAAGCCAACGACGGTTAAAAGAGCATTTAGCTCGCAAACACGACACCGTTTATAGATATGAATGCCATCACTGCAATAAGAAATTTAAAGTGAAGAGCGATTTGAGATTGCATATACGTTTCAAGCACCTGGAGTGTCCAATAGTATGTGACATCTGCGGTAAGACCTGCTCTAACAGCAATGCACTGCACGTACACCAAAAATGCTCGCATTTTAAGCCCAAATTTAAATGCGAAATCTGCAATAGACGTATGGTCACGCAGGAGAATTTGGATCAACATATATTGCTGCGGCACGAGCACGGAAAAGGTTTCGCGTGCAAAGAGTGCGATAAATCTTTTACAGAAAATCATCGACTGAAGCAGCATATGAGGACCCATACCGGTGATCGACCATATACCTGTGAGTTCTGCGGTAAAGCTTTTGCGCGTAGGACTGTTTTCAGACAGCATCTGTTACTTCATACGGGAAAACGACCGTACGTTTGTGATATTTGTGGGAAAACTTTTACACAAAAACCTGGATTAATTACTCATCGGAAATCTCATCCTGGAGAGCACCCTCCTTTACCAGTGGTGCACATCAATTCCATTCTCAATGATTTGATAAAGAAGTGATTATATATAGTGTACTCATTTAAAAAAATGCTATAGAACTCTTTGTCACTATATATATATTATATATAAACAATTTGTAATTTTATTGTTTATCTTTTACTGATTATCTTTTATGTACCAGTAGTATGTATGTATGTATTATATATATGTATGTACGTATATATGTACGTACGTATGTATGTATGTATGTATGTATGTATGTATGTATGTATGTATGTATGTATGTATGTATGTATGTATGTATGTATGTAAAGTAGAATATTTTGTTTGCTTTATGGACACGATTAAAAACGATACATGTCTTTAAATAAATTATAAAGTTTTATAATCACATTATCTGGAGATACGGTAGTGTCTCGGCGCTAAGCCAGGCGTAATTGTTACGTAAATATCACGTAATGAGATATAAGATTATAAATGTTACAATGTGACATAATAGAATGTGTGTCAATAAAAGTAATCTCTCTGAATGATGAAAAAAATTTATTTGTAATTCAAATCGCATATTTTTTTATAAAATCTTATAAAACTTTTTATTAGTACAATTTTTACTAGTAATAAATTATAATAAATGAGTAATATAAATTATAATAAAATAAATAATAAATCATAATAAAATTTATTTTATACAATACATAAATCAAAAATTACGCGCGTGTGAGTATAACAAATTATATAGAATAGAATAATTCATTTATTTCAGTTCACATACCAAGAAGAAACTTTACAACATAATCTTTAACATTACATTTATCCATCTCTTACGTATTAATGATTATTTTAATCTAGCAACTAATATACATAAATTATATGCGATTAGAATTAAAAATTTTTCTGAGGTAAAAGATTTATATGTCAAGAATTTTAGGTGTGTTTACAAAAATTGAAAGCAAATGTTTTAATTTTTATTTTCATAAAATATTAGCAAAAGATGTATCCTATTTTAATCTTTCAAATTGACATAAATAAATTAATCGAATATCCTTATGAAAGTGTTTATTAATATTTATTTTTATTTTAGACAGATCAATTGTACGTGTTTTTGCAATAAATTTTGTTTTTGTGTCTTGAAGAAAATTTTATGAGATCCCATTATCAGAATAATTTTTCTTGGCATCTATTAATTTGATAGATATGTAATTAAAAATATTTTTTAAATTATATATAATTCAATCAAATATAAAGTATTAATTTTTAAACTGCCATTTATTTTCAATTTTCTACATAATATAGAAGTCCATAAATTTTCAGATAAAAAATAATCGCAATTAACTCTTATGAGATCATCAATTTTTATAACTTTTCAAATCATTTGTGATTAATTTTCACGATGTGGAACGTTCAAGATTAAGATTTACGTATGAAATTTGAACTATTATTTTATCGAGTTTAAAAAATTTTCGCTTTAATTTACAATTTTGCTTTAACAGTTTCATTCTATTTTCTAATATTATATAAATATATAATTATAAAATTATATTAATGTGTTAATATATTTAATAGTTTATATATTATGTACACTGAAGTCACAGAAAGGTTGCAATACTTTTTTTTAATAGGTTTTGGAACTTAGCCTTGCTCGTAGAGCAGTTGAACATAACTGGTTGGATCTTCCTATATAAGTAATAACATTAAAAATCAATCGTTCCAGTGAGCAGTGCATTTTGAAACTCGTCGGAAAAGTGTTGCAACTTTTCTGTGATGCCACTGTATAACAAAACAATGGAATTAAGAACCAAAACACAGAAAAACTATGTTAATTTTTAAATCTGTTGTTTTGTTGTATATGGTATGTTTAGTTTAAAAATAAATACATCATAATTAATCTGTTATCCTAAGCACTCCGCATCAACAAAATTATTTTTAAACCTCGAGCGGAAGGGTAAAAATAATTTTAATTCTTCTCGTACCAATGTGTCTTCGCAAATTTTAGATTTGAATGTAAGTAGTCCAAGATCAGTGTACTTGCCAATTGCAGAACTGTAATAAAGATATATCTTTGTAATGTTGTAGGAAGCCGACAGTAGGTGCTTTTGTCAACGAAGTGGTGAAGAAAAAAATTGAAACGAAAACATCAACTTTTGTATGTAAAGTAAAATTAGAGGATCCGTTCGTCTGCGACATCTGTCCTAAACGCTTCAAGAGCAAGTACTTACTGAAACTTCATAAAGTCACGCACATGGCGGAGATTATGCACGGATACGAAACGGACGTGAAGGAAAATTCTGCATTCACCGACGCGGTGCCGCGAAATCAGATTCTCTCATGCGTAACATGCGACTTTCGCTGTGACAAGAGATCCACGATGATCGCGCATCTCGCCGAGGAGCACGACGGAATCGCGAATAATGGCAGATTCGCCAGTGACAAACGCAAATTAACTTGCCTCGTCTGCGGCTTGGTGTGTGCCCGCAAAGAGACCCTGAGGTCGCACTTCATCCGTAAGCATACCCAACATTACGCTTACTCGTGTGAGCATTGTGGCAAGGGGTTCAAGATTAAGGGTGACCTCACTACCCATATCCGATTGAATCATCAGGAGATGCCGGTGGTGTGCGGTATCTGCGACAAGACCTGCCGAAATAGCCACAGCCTGTACACCCATCAGAAACATGCACATTATAAGGCGAAATATGAATGCCCGTTGTGCCACCGACGGCTCGTAACAAAACAGAATCTGGATCAGCATGTGCTGACTCAACATGAGAAGAAAGAAAAGTCGGTGTGTGAGCAATGCGGCAAGACTTTCTTTGAAAATTACGATCTAAGGAAGCACATGAGGAGTCATACGGGCGACAAGCCGTACAACTGCATGGTCTGCGGCAGAGCGTTTGCTAGACACTGCAACCTGAGCCAGCACCTTCTTCTGCATACTGGCAAGCGTATCTACGCGTGCGATGTATGCGGCAAAACTTTTGCTCAGAAAGCCGGTCTCATCTGCCATAGGAAGATTCACTCGGGAAGTCTACCGCCCTTACCGGTGACACACATCGAACACATACTGAAGGAATTCATGAAGAAATCGCATAACATGAAAACATCATCGGTGTTTTAGCCTCGTCTTTCATTTCTTTCCTCTCTTAGCGATTAAATAAATAAATAATTATCACGTGTAATAAAGACATACTGCTAATTAATCGCTAAAACAATATTTAAAAAAAAACGTATAAAAAGCATTTGTTTGTGCAATATATGACTGATACAGTACGTTGATACAGATATAAAAATTTTTAATGAATGGAATTAATGTATTTATAGCTGCAAAAATCCATTAATAATGAAATTTGTTGAAATTACAAAGTTTGCAGTAAGATAATAATGCGAAACTTATTATGAATAATTATAATATTATATTACGAGATACATAAAGTTTCTTAATTTTTGTTTTACTAATACTTTTACGTTAACTTTAATATATCCATCAATTTAGTGCATTTGATTCTTTTATCTTATATATTTCAAAGATTCTTAATAACAACAAATATTACCATATTTATACGATAACAGAAGTTGTAAAAACTCAAAACTTTATTTTATAATGTTTGAATTTTAAAATGTTATCTTGAAATTTTTTATTTTTTGAAAAAAGTGCAAATAAAAGAATACAAAAATATTTCGTAGTTAAAAAAATACGCAAAAATTAAAAAAAGATGTTGGAAATTATGAAGTTATTGTTTTTCTATTTTGCTTTTAAAGCATTGCAACTTTGCGAATTTTAAGTTAGTTGCAATTTTCAATAATATATTGTTTATCAGAGTTTATGAGACATAATCTACAGTTTTTGTATTCTTATATTATTATTTATGTTCTAAGTGTTACTTGGCACTTTTTTCGTTAATGTTTTTTTTAATAATATAATATAATATAATGTATTATTTAGAAATAGGCTAACTCTAAATGGATACATATTTCTGAAGTTGTTGAAATAAATTATACTGGATATGTGAACGTGTGTATGTGCAATATTTCATTTTTTTAACATTTTGTTTCGAATTTTCCCATTTTATGACAATTTCGTAACTAATGTAGGTTGCAACGGAGTGCAATGCTGATCAACAAGAAGGGTAGTTTTAGCTCTTCGTTTGTGAGTACCTTCGTTGATCTGTGATCTCTGATTAAATTTATAGAATAAATGTTATCATTCTAGCCTGTAATTTATTTAGGTATAAATAAAAAAATCACATATAATTGTTCTAATAATTACTTTATTCCGTGATGTTGCAGGCACCAAGGTGCGTTTAATCCTCGTGGCATTTTCATCTTTGGTAATGAATCACTGGTAATGAAGAAGTGGCAAATTTTAGAATTTGACGACAAACCGTATTATGCGTTTGTGCCTGAAGGTGATATACCTATACCGGATGAGGATATACTATATCAAACAGATGAAGAAGTAGAGGTAATAGAAAATGAGAATATTGATGTAAATGATATCAAACAGGATTATTCGGAGGGGGAATACGATTGTACGGAAGAGAAATCATACAACGTTGGGAACGTTCTTAACGAAAATGTTGACGAAACAGAGGATGTAAAACCGATCACATTAAACGGTGAAGCTGTAGATGACAAAACGATTACGAGTTTATATCAGGTGAAAATAGAAGCTGGTACGGTAACTATCGAGAAACTTACGTCCAAGGAAGAAGTAGATGAGAAAACAAACGAAGACCAGACGGAGAATGTAAATGATGATGAGGGAGAAATAGAATATCTTGATGAAGCATTGCTAGATGTACCTATGATACCCCCTCCCAGTAAAGCATCGCGTATGAAAACCGCAAAGAACTCCGGTGAGGCTGTGAGGTGCAAATTGTGCTCGGAGAAGTTTGATTCGATTTTAACCTTCAGGAAACACGTAGCGTGGACTCATAAAAGGAAGGTGTGCATTATAGACAACGACTTTTACGTATGTTCTGTGTGCGGCTTTAAAACGCCGAAAAAGAGTTTGTTTGCCGCTCATTTGGAAAGAAAACACGAAACTTGGTCTAAGAAACGATCTATCAACACGAAATTTCCTTGTAATGCTTGCGGCTTTGTTTGCAGATCGAAGCATTCCTTACAGTCTCATTTTACGAGGAAGCATACGGATAAGTACGAGCATCAGTGCAATTTCTGCTCAAAAAAATTTAAGGTCAAAGGGGATCTAACAAATCATATACGATTTCATCATAAAGAGAAGCCGGTCAAGTGTGATGTATGTGGCAAACTATGCCTTAATTCCGGTTCGCTGTATGTACATCAGAAGTGGGCACACTATAAACCTAAATACGAGTGTCACATTTGCAAAAGACGTATGGTAACACAAGCGAATTTGGATCAACATTTGGTGACGCAGCACGAAAAACGCGACAAGATAGTCTGCGCAGAATGTGGTAAAACTTTTGCAAAGAAAGACTCGTTCAAGAGGCATATGGTGGTACATACAGGATGCAAACCGCATTCCTGTATGATCTGTAGTAAACCCTTCGCGCGAAGATCTCAGTTGCGTCAGCATCTGCTTATTCATACTGGCAAGCGTCCGTTTGTGTGTGACATATGCGGCAAAGCGTTTACGCAAAAGCCGGGCTTGATCTGCCATAGAAAAACTCATCCTGGCCAGCATCCACCGCTGCCCGTGATGCCAATCGCAGATTATGTTAAAGAATTCACTGATGGATATGTACAGGAAATTAACGCGCAAGATAACGAAGAGGACATCAATGAAGAAGTGTTGAACGTTTAATTTGTCATGTGGCTATATGTCGAAGTATATATTTTTTTACCAGTGTCTAAAACAACAAAAGCACGCGATTATTAAAGAATAAAAATGAGAGGAATTGAGAAATTTTATGTACTTATTGTTAGTACAAAAGTATTAAAAGCCGGTAATTACAAACGAAATTTTTATTTATATATTTGTTTTTACGCAAGATCGTATATCAATTACAGTACTTCTATTTTAATCATACAATCAAGCTCTTTTCAATCTTTGTATTGTTTACTCTTTCTTATATGTTTTTTTATTAATTATTTATTCTTTTGGCATATTGTTTTTGTGTTTTAGACAAATGTAAAAAGAGTAAAAACGAAAAGCATAAACAATGAACATTAGAGAAATGGAGAATAAGTGTTAATAAAACTGCGAGATCGCGATTCTGAAAATTCAAAATAAAGAAAAAGAAAATATCAGTAGACAAGTTGTCAATTATTTAAATTTCTTTATATGTAGTTATTTAATTTGGTTTCTTTAAAAATCCAGTTTTATCAGATTATGAAATTTTTCTGTAATAATCGTTAATAAATTAACATATATTGTTAGGTAATTATATATGTTATTTGTCAAAAGATAGTTACAATTTAATTTTAAAATTAAACTAGTGAGATGACTTCTCTCAATGTAATATACCAAGAAGGAGAAATGTACCGATAAAAATATTCCATTGATGATAGAAATATGAGAATTTGTAACCTAATTATTTCTTTATAAGTATCCAAAGTTTGAATGATTTTTAAAGATAACTAAATGTAATAAATATAATTGTAGATATGTAGCTAGCAGTTGTAAATTACATCTTTCTAAGAATAGAAAAACAATGATCTTATTACTTCTGTCGTTTTTCACATCTTGATGATTATCGTTACGGGTTATATTTTATTGTTTAAAAAAAAACAAGATTAATATAACTGAATATACACTACGCAAAACAATTATACTTTGAAACCTGCAAATTTTGTCGATTTTGAGAAATTAATATCTCGGCTTCCAGGAATCGCAAAACATTGTTCCTTAGCGCGTTTTTGGAACTTGATAACTCAGCTCCTAGGCAAGCTAGAACAATTTTCATTATCTCACTTTAAAGAGAATGTTCTCGGCTTCAAAACTGATGTGGTGACGTTTTTCGCCTCGTCGTTGCTTTGTCCGTGGAAGGTTTCAATATCACGACATTTTCTAACACTCTGCTTTTGGTTTTCACGAGAAATAACAGTTTCATGGGACGCAAAATTTTAGTTAAGCCATTTTAAAGTAGAGGCTTTACTCTTTAAAACGCGCTGAGAAACAATGTTCTGCGATTTCTGGAAGCCGAGATATTAGTTTCTCAAAATCGGTAAAATTTGCAGGTTTTAAAATGCTCCGCTAATTTTTTGCGTAGTGTATTTATCGTTACAAATGTTAATTTTGTAAGTAGAAAAAGAATGCAATGTACAATAATAGCTACAATAATACAAATTAATCATAAAGTAATGTAAGTACAATTGATAGATTAAAGTTGTATAAGTTTTCCTTTCATTACAACATTATTTTATAAATTTAAATAGAAGATAAATGTAAAATGAACATGTAATCGGTACACTCTATAAATCTTATTATTTCTTTTCCTCTCTTTTATGTTATAAATATATTTCGTACAAATATTTTACCATACATATTGTATTATTTCTTTCATTGGTATAAATTCAAATTTGCAGTCTGTGCATGATAATTGAAAAATTTTGCAATTGGAGGGAATATAAAATAATCCATAGATACTTAATTATTTTTTCCGTTATTAAAGATTGGATTTAAAAATTAAAATAATTTGATGATAGAAAAATTAGTATCTCTCTCTATATATATATGTATGTATGTATGTATGTATATATATAATTGATTTTATAATAATATAAAAATTATTTTTGAAAAGTGCTTTTTTTTTTACAAATAAGCTGTCTTTTTTTGTTCTATCGCATTAAACTAAATATTTTATCTTTTTAATGAGTTTAATTAAAAAGGGTCTAACTATTCCATTGGGAAATATATTTTTAAAGATTATTAAAATTAATGAAATTATATAATATCAAATAATATGATACAAATTTGACATTGTATTTTGTCATCTTTTAAACAAAATTTTATTTGATAGATTTTTTTATTTAATCTAGTCTTAAAATTTCCTCACCGAGAACGGTCAGAATTTTGTCTATTTTTCACGCGGTAGTGTCTCCGGCCATATTCAAAAACTAAAAGACACTACAAGTCTCTTATCCCGAGCCACTAAAGTCCATTCTTCGGGGGTGCATAACTACTAAAATATAAAAAATTTTGAATCGAACGTTATTTATCCTGAAAGGCGGCATCCCCATGAGTAATTTGAGCCAAACAAATTTTAAATCAGTCAAGTATACTTTATTCTGGCACATATTAACGTGAAATATTAAATATCTTATAAATTATTTATTTTTTGATAATCATATATGTTAAGGATGCGGTCACAATAGAAGCAATAAAAAATTAAGAATAAGGAATAAGAAATTTTAACTTGTCAGAAATTATGTATTTTGATATATCCAATTTCTGATAGATTGAATTTCTTATTCTTTATTTCTTTTATTGTAGCTACACCCTTATTTATAATTTTAAGCACAGACTAATGACATTAATCAATTGATGTAAAAAAAATACATGGTTGTTAATTTAAAAAATTATACGTTTTGCAGTATGCAATTACATTTTTTTTTTTAATAAGCTGCTATGTTTCTTTTTACACTAATTGATTCATATCATTATTCGTAAAAGGTACGTTTAAGGTACGATTATTAAAAAATGTACAGTTTACGAGAGAGAGAGAGAGATATTTAATATTTTTAATTAATATATGCTAAAATAAAGTATAATAACTAAAAAATTATCGATCTCTACCTTATTATTTCTATATAATATAGAATAATTAGAGATTACATGTAAAAAAATTTTAGGTAATCACTTAAGGACATCTTTTCAAAGTTAACTATAAGGTCACTATCTTCTTTCCCTCCAGTAACTAAGCAACATTTGAAATAATTTTGTCTCAAACTTAAGGATTTTAGAACATTTTACTGAATGGATCAGCCCGCCTATATATTAAATATCATCTTACATTATAAAAAAATCAAACGTTATTATCAAGTTATTCTCCATGCACGATACGTATTTTTTAGAGGATATAAATGTTAATTTATAAACAGCACATTGAATGATTTTATGTGAAAGACGCATAGTATTATATATAGAATTATTTCTTTTATAATAACTGCATTGAGAACAATTTTTGATTAAAAATAGATCAGAAATCAGAAAATTTTGATTATCTTAGGTAGAATTAGATCAGAAAATAAATATTAGAATATCTAGCTCTAATTTGCTAAGCAATAAAAGAAGATAGGTCAATAATGAACATATGATTATAGATCATAATTTCAAATAATTTATTAATTCTTAAATATAAATTAATGGAACGTTTCGACACTTAACTTAGTTTTCATCAATTATGAAAAAAAGTTAAAATTGAAAAAAACAATAAGAAATTATTCAAAATAAGACACATGAGAAGCTGGACAAATTATCTATTAGATTGAAATTATTACGAAGTGTGATATTCTTCAAATCCAAAGATATATATAATAAATAAATTATTGTACAAAAAAAGCAAAGCGTATAACTTGACAGCAAATAAACAGATGAGAACTGACTAAAACTTTACTCTAATTTACTGTTTGTTTATATATGTAAATTTTAGTAACAAAAGGTAAGTTTATTGTTAACACAATTAAATATCACCTTATTATCAATTCAATTTGCAAATTTGATGTTGATCTGACGACAATTTATTAACAATTTGCATATTGAGTTATTTGCTTATTGACTTATGCTACTTTCAAAAATAATTCAGATGTTACGAAGCATTTCATAAAGTTGCAATATGAGTAAGTATATTTGGTGTTAATCAGATATGTGAGATATATTGAGAATTTAATAATATAATAACTTTTTTTTTGAAACTTTTAGGAATATAATCGGTATGGATTCTTTTCAATTCAACGAAGAACCGTCTGTCGCAGTTCCGATTTCCTGAGAAGTCGCGTAGAAAAATCCAAGTTAGAAGTGAATCTATAACAAAAGCATGTCAAGAAAATCGCATTCGTCGTTTCTTTTATCTAAGCGTAAGTGGAAGTTTTATAGTGAAAAATATTTAAGAAATATAATTAGAAGAAAATAAGTTAAGCAAGAGAATTTGGATCTACAATGACAATTAATTTTATCGTTTCGTAGTCATAGCTTGAAAAGTCATAAAAAGAGTTATCTTTATTTCTATGGATATCGCGAAGAATTTCTTTGAGTCGAGATTATCAATTCTTTTGAATTGATAATATAATATATCGAAGGTCCATAGTATCGTGTCCTTGCGACATTACATGCTCAAGTGGATGCTATGAAAGCGTTATCTAAAAAAGCATATTAAAGGATTAGAATTATGTATGTGTGTGATGTCTGCAGAACGAAGAAGGATTGCATAGCATGTGCAACGCATACACAATTACCAGACGATATGCGACCTGTATAACAAGTACCAAAATCTATTTAAAAGAGCATAATTGTATGACAGTCGTATCTACAGTAGTTCTTTTGGCATACGTGTGAGAGGAAGTTCATGATAAAAAAAATTGCTAGATTTTAGCAACAAGTACACTTGCATCGCATGTTGTACAATATCCGGAAAGCTATCGTCTACTATATGTGATAAGATCTCGAACAGCAAGAACTCTCTAAGGACGCACATGAAGTATCACGATAACGATGTGATACCGTTTGACTGCACGACAAGAGATTTACAATCCAGAACATATAAAAGCAGCATTTATAGATGTACAGCAACATCAGATCTACGACGTCTACAATCAAAGCTTCAAGTATAAGTCAAGTTTGATCATACATAGAAAGAACCATCCTGATCCTTCATTTTGATTATCTACAATATCAATAGATCATCTTATTGAAAACTTACTAAATACGAAAGCGGAAATTCAATGTAACTTAAGACACTCTAATGCCTGTATTTATAGTCAAGCTTAAAACTTTCATAAATTTATCCTTAGGTGTTCAGTAACTAATAGAATAATTCGTAGAGCATCTGAAGATAAATTTAAGGAAGCCTTAAATAAAGACTATGTGAGTACGGATATTACTATTAGTTTTAAAAAGATTTATTTACGTAGTAGAATTTGCAAAAGAAGGAAAAAAGTTTATATTATTATATTAAAATATTTTGCTAAATAAAATATTTTAAAACGACGAAGGTTTCTAATGCAAGTATTGTCAGTTTAGTAATAATAATATAATTAGTATTTGTATATATAATAGCGCTTATAAATATTTCAATCAAGGAGTCGAAACTTGTTACGTAACGTTCATCATGTTTTTAGTTTTAAATAATTTTTGTAATTATATTCGATTGTTTTTCAAATTTAAAATTAAATATGTTGACATTATAATATTAATTTTAAATGTAATTTTATTTTTTACTCTTACATCGCCCTTTCGATTTTTACTAATTATTATTAAGATGCATTTAATTTCGTGAAATGCGACAAAAATATTAATGTCAAAATATTTATGAGCGCTACCCCTATAAGTGTATATCCATATTGAGATTATCTTTTTTAATAAAATATCTGTATACACAAATCTTAATTTTAAAATATCTGTATCTAAGTTTTTAGTTTGAAAACCTGAAAATTACTAATTGATGTCTCTTATGTTGGTTGAAAAAAGTATGTACGTTATAGTTTTGTTATTAACATTTGCATACTTTCTATAAAGTAACGATGCTAAAATTGTTAAAATAATAAATAATAAAATAGTAACAAAGTTATCTTATGAATTTTCTTATTTCACTAAACCTGGTAGTTCTCCAAATTTCTTCAATCATTATATGTATATTAAAGAAAGATGCGATTTGGTAACAATTTGTATTATTGTAATATTTATAATAAAACAATATTGAAATATTAATTAAAATAATAAATTTAATAATTGTTGAAAGGACACTGCTAAAAAAAATTTTTGTACAATTTTTATTTTTAAAACTTCGAAACTTTTCATAAAACAAATAAAATGTTAAGCTCATATTTTCGTTAAAGTTATCTATAATTATCTATAAATAATCGAAATTTTTGATCAAAGTGATTATATTGTTAAAAGAAAATAGTATGAGCGAATGAGGCACTTTTCTCATATTTTTGTATATTTCTTGACAAAGAATTTTTTTTATGTCGTAGGTTTGATTTGCTAGAAATGGACGAAATCAAGAATGAAGGCATTCGGAATTCTCACGCATTCTTTATCGACACATCTTCGAATATCACCGATATAATCAGCACGAATAGCAGTAAAGAAAACAGGAGTGTAATGAAACGCTTACGTTATTCCTGCGACATTTGCTCGTTCCCGTGCCGAACGAAGGGACATTTAAAAAAGCACAGGCAACTTCACAAGAACGCATGTAGGATGTGCAACGAGCTTTTCGTCACGTCAGAGAAACTAGAACATCATATGGTCGTGCATCATGGCGAGCCTAAATATACTTGTAAATTATGCTATTCTGTTTTATGGAACAAGACGGACATGAAGAAACATCTTGTCGTAAACCACTTATTGGTAGACCCTTTCTGCAATACGTGCACCACCTGCAATAAGGAATTCCAGTCAAAGTATGCAATAGAGAGGCACATGTATAGCCAGCACACAAAACTCTCGGTGGGATGTACCATCTGTAGACGCATTTATAACAGCTTTACAGCATTGAAGGCACACACCAAGCTTATTCACCTGAAGACTGGTTACCAGTGTGAGATTTGCAAGCGACGTCTCCACACCATGGATTCCCTGGAGAAGCATCTACGACGGCATGAAGGCACGCGAAATGTGGACAGTTACATCTGCACAACATGTGGGGAAACTTTCCTCACCAAAAATAATTTAAACAAACATGTGGTCATCCATGGCGACGTCAATCCCTATGTCTGCCCGGTCTGCCAGAAAGCCTTCGACAAACGAGCAAATCAGGTCCAACATATTTTGACGCACATGAGTAACGTTTATGCCTGCGATATATGCGGACTGAGATACTCGCGAAGGGCTGCTCTATTATGGCACAGAAAAATGCACCCAGGACCACTTGGAAAACTGCCAGTTATACCCGTGATAGGCATCGTGAGCGAATTTGTTAAGAATTACATTAGCAAAACGAAAAATTTAACAAATACTTAATTCGAAAAGTCTGATGGTTAAATTTAGAAAGTATTAACTAAATCATTTATTTAAACGTTACTTTTTTTTGAAGAGATAGAACTTTTCTGAAGATAAACTTTCAATAAGTATACGATCTTATTATAAATGTCTTCAGTAATGGCAATTATAGGATAAGATGTCTTTATTTTTTCTCGGATATATTATGAATTTCTGTTAACGATGTTATGTGATGTTATATTTTGTAAAATAAAACGCAACTCGATGTATGATTAGTTCGTACATGTACAGCGAATTTATTTGAAATACATGAACGATTAATTCAAATTGCTTTTCCCAAGTTGTTTCTGATTATTCTATTTCCCGATAATTATATACTGATCTATAGAATTTATTTATTCGTTATCAGGTAAGTTACTTATTTACCATTAATTAATTATGCTAAATAATTAATTATGCTAAATAATTAATTATGGTATTGATAAGATCTCTTTTTTTTTTTTTTAGGTGATCCGAGAGTATGCAACAATTTTGTGTTGCATTATGAAAAGCTGATATTTAATTTTCACAAATCTCTGAAGACTTCTAATCACATTTAGGAAGGTAACTTAAAGAACAATGACAATAAAACATCCAAACATTTATTAAATCGCTTCCGATGATTATTATAAACCGTTCCCAGCTATACTTCCTTCTTCACTAGATGATTATACTCAACAGGCGTATAAGCAATTCTTCCTTTGATTTATAGCTAACGATAACGTGAACTTTTGCCTTTTTATGTTTTAGAGTGGATCCGTTGAACGTTGAGGATATCCAAAAATCATTCGTCGAAATCGAATGCGAACAGACGGAAAGAGAAAAGTTATTGATAGAACGTGAAGGACGACTGTCAGAGATAAATGGGAATCTAATGAGAGAGGAGCTTAATCCGCAAATCGTAACTGAAGAAAATCGATCGACTAGAAAGAAGACGACGTGTGTAGAGTGCGACTACTGTCGTCGTAAATTCTTGAAGAAGAGTAACCTCGCCGAGCACTTGAAGCAACACAGACACAAATGCGTCGATTGCCCAAAAACCTTCAGCCTGCGGCGTTATCTGGCGTCCCATGTTGAGAAAAATCATCGGCAACAGATGTACGAATGCAGCGTGTGCAAGTATAAGAGCAACAATAAAGGAACCTTAAAGAATCATTACATCCGGCTGCACACGAGCAACTACGACTACGCGTGTGATACGTGCGGCAAGCAGTTCAAAATAAAGAAGGCTCTGAATCATCATGTGAAGCAGAATCACAGCGAAGCTCCGCCGATTGTGTGCGACGTCTGCGGTCACTTCAGTAAAAACCTCCACGCCCTCAAGGCCCATATGAAGTATAGGCATTACAAGCCGGAATTTGTCTGTCGAATATGTCGACGAGGTATGACCACGCAGGAGAACTTAGAGCAGCATCTCATGTGGCACGAAACTAGGGAGAAGGTACTCTGTCCGACTTGTGGCAAGAGATTCCGGGGACGCGATCTGGACTCACATATGAGAGTACACACTGGAGTGAAGCCGTTTCCCTGCCCTGTTTGCGGAAAGACTTTTCGACGGCAAACAGCTCAAGAACAACACGTGTTGATTCATACCGGAAAAAGACCCTACATTTGCGATATTTGTGGTCAGACGTTCGCCCAAAAGCCCGGCCTGATTTGCCACAGAAAGAGGCATCCTGGCCCACTGCCTCCGCTACCTGTAGTCTCTATCAAGAACATTGTTACCGAATTCACGAAAGAGTACGCGATGAAAAACGCGGTCATAAAGATTGAATAAGATGTATTTGTTAATTTGTAGTATTTCTAGTACAATTGATAAAATTGTTGATGTTAAATACTTCACAATTATACATCGATAGTAATTAAAAATTGAGCTTAAACAAATCGCGATGATGAAATAAGAATATGAAAAAGTTATTTAAACGATATTTTTTATTTATGCAAAAAATTGCATATATCTTTTATATATTTTGTAGATATAAATGTGATTAAATATAAAAATGATTTTGTATAGATTTTACATTTTTACAAAATTGCTTTTCTCTCTCATATTAATTTTGATACGTATATTACGCAGTCAAAGTGCAACTTACAGCAAACTAATAAGTGTATATCTACTGAGTTAACATTTTGACTGTGACATAATAAAGACATACTTTTTTAACAAAAATTATTTATGTAGTATATTGTTTATAAAATATAATAGGTTAAACAATATGTAATCTTAATTTTACTCTGAATAATTAAGATTGTAAAAATTAAGGTTATTTATTGACTCATTCCATGTATGAATAGTGAATACTATGAATATATGTGTAATATATATATATAGTGTGTGTGTGTGTGTGTTGTGCGTGCGCGCGCACGCATGTGTGTACAATTACACATGCACATTTTTTTAAAGTCAAATTTGAAATATAAATATCTTTTTGCAATTTTCTACTGTATTTTGTATGTAGTTTGCAATAAAAATTACGATTTTTATAAATTTTGTATATTATTAATTTCCTATATGTAATCACGAGAATAGCACGAAAGAAATTGAAAAATACATACTTTTTTATTTATTATGTATATATATGTATATATATATTTATTATGTATTGCATACATATATCTTATATGTATATGTATTACATACATATATCTGATATGTATATATGATATCAATATTATATTTAACTACACACGTAATTAATTAGTTTTTGTCGTAATATTCAATCATCCAGTTGAGTATATTATTTTCCATTTCATTTGAAAATATTTTTAGCAGTGATAAGATTTTATATAGAATATTTTTTATTTTATTATTAAAAAATTTATCATACAATTTTTATTAAGTAAACGTCGTCACTTTTTATACTAATATTTATTTATATTTTTTATTAATGTCGAATCATATTTAAAAATAATTTATATTACTTAAATTACAATTTACTTGGAATTTGATTTTATATAACAGCATCTTCATATTTTTTACATTCTCTTTGTAGATTAAAAATATTTTCGTGTAAAAAAAAAACTGGAAATCATTCAACACTCTTAATATCTCAAGTAAGTAAGCTTAATATCCAGCGATAGATCCTGCATCGTGTGTAATCAAATTTAATTTTTTCGTAATTTATGTTTTAGTGATTCACCTGTGGATCCTCTGACGGTCGTGGACGCCAATAACACGGAACACATGTCTGAAACCATAGAATGTTTATCCGAGTACGAATTATTACCAAATAAAATCAAACAATACATTGTTAGAAGAGAAAGAAAAATGAAAAACGATACGAGAAGGGGAAAAATCAATCAGAACAGAATCGAAAAAAAAAAACCTAAACTTTCCTTCGAGTGCGCCACGTGCGGTCAATGTTTCAACCAGAAAGCTACTATGATAAAACATATGAGCTTGCACAAATATCAATGCCAAACTTGCTGCCAGAGTTTTGGTTTGAAGCGAGAATTAAAGCGCCATATCATGAACGTTCATGGACCTCTCCTGTATCCATGCAGCATTTGTGATTATAAGAGCAACAACAAATGCACTTTAAAGGATCATTTTATACGGAAACACACTAGTGGCTATCAACATTCTTGTACGATTTGTAATAAACAGTTCAAAATCAAGAACGACCTAAAACAACATATGAATCAAGTGCATAGCGGCGAACCGCCCATCATCTGTAGCATCTGCGGACACGCTTGCAAGAACGTACCCGCTATCAAGGCCCACATGAAGTATCGACATTACAAACCAGCTTACGAATGCAAAATATGCAAGCGTGGTCTTACCACTCAAGAGTATCTCGACCAACACCTGATCTGGCACGAAAGAAAGGAGAAGGTCGTCTGTCCCACCTGCGGCAAGACCTTCGGTCAGAAGAGGGATTTGGATCTTCACTTGAGGATTCATCAGGGTATCCGACCGTTTTCTTGTCCAGTCTGTGGTAAAACCTTCCCCAGAAAAACCGCACAGGAACAACACATATTAATTCACACCGGCAAAAAGCCATACATCTGCGATATATGCGGACATACCTTCGCACAGAAACCCGGACTCATCTGTCACAGGAAACGGCATCCTGGACCGTTACCGCCCTTGCCTGTGGTATCCATTAAGAAAATAATCATGGAATTTATGCAGGAATTAATCTCTCCTACACAACAAAATAAAGTAGATAATCAGTAGTAAATTGATTTATTCTTGGATTAAAATTCACTTCACACATATTACTTCATTTACAAAACTTCAACTTTCTTAGAATCTTTTATAAAATCAATCATATACGCGTGTGTGAAAGAGTCGGAATTAAACCTGGAATGCAAACAATCAATTTATATTAAAAATGAAGAGAATATACAATTTACTAGTAGTAGTTTTTGTATCAGGAGATGTGCCATTCTAATTACTTGTTATATGAGTTTTTTTTACACGCGACATTTTTTTAAATTTCAAAATTATGAACTCCAATTTTTCTATGTACGAGGTTTCAATGTATAATGTATATAAATAATTATGTATTTACTTCTTTTAAACTAATAAAATAAAAAGAAAATATTATCCAATAACCCTAACATTTTGTGAAATTTATGAAAAAACCATTATTATTTAAAAATAAAAAATATATACAATACGCGTAGTTTGTTGTGCATGCTGTTTTCGCGTAAAATCTAAATTATTTTTAAATATAGTTTATCCTTTTTATATTTACGAGATATAATTGCTTTATTTTTATTTTTACAATACTTATTTTACAAACCTAATGCATATTTATTAAATTATAACTAACACGAATAATTTTTTTAAAATCATTTTATTGTTATTAATGTCATTTTATTTTAAAAATTAGTTTTTGAAATTTATCCGAAAATATCTTAAAAAAATATTTCACATTTATTCACAAAATCTTATAATTTTATAGTTTTAAACAACTTAATGTAAAAATATGCCGATTTAGTAACAAAACGTAAATATGATTTATTCTTATTTACAGTTTCTGTTGCAATTTTACAAAAAAACAACTGCCAAATTTTTTGAAATAGTTAATATCAGTACATTGTTAATTTATTGTTAAAGTTTTTTATGTTATCATATTTATTTGTTCAAGACGAAGTGATGAAAAGGGTAGGTAATACTCACACAAATTGAAAAAGTAAAAGTAAATTGTTCAAGATTTCTATTATAAGTTTTACAATAATGTAATTAGTTAATTTTTCGATTGGAAAATCGTTTTAGTCAATTTTAGTTCTTTTGTAAAGTTCCATGATCGTGAAATATTTATTTCATTATTCTTCTCTCTTTTCAGGCAAAAACGTAGATCGCGTCATGTTCACCAATGCGTTAAATGCGGGGATCGCTTCTATCATACGCGGAAGCTTGTGGAGCATCTGAAGAATCTGCACAACATCGACCGGGCATTTAGCTGTGACGAATGCGGCAAAACATTCCGCAGCCCGATGAATATAACTCGCCACAAATTAATTCATACGGGGCTAAAGACGTATAAATGCGATGTCTGCGAGTACAGCTCTAACCAGAGGTCTAATATGGAGTGCCATCGTCGCCGACACACGAAGGATTATCTTTTCAAATGTGAGAAGTGCGACAAGGGCTTTTTTTATAGAGCCGACTATCAGGAACATCAAAATACGCACAACAAGAAAAATATGTACCGCTGCGATCACTGTTGTAAGCCTTACAAGTACAAGAAGAATCTACGGGTACATTTAGCGACGTATCATCTCAGACATGCCGTCGCGAGGAACCCGAGGACGAGATATGCGTGTAAAGTTTGCCCGGAGAGCTTTATGTATAAGAGACTACTAGACAACCACATAAAGAGTCAGCATGGATCTACAAACAAGTCGGCAAAGCACCTGTGCGACCTGTGCGGTACGAAACTGTCATCGATGAGACGACTGATAGTGCACCAACGCAGTCACACGGGCGAGAGAATCTTTGAGTGCGGCACGTGTCATATGAAATTTTTCAGTAAGGAGAATCTAAGTATTCACCAACGGACGCACACGGGCGAGAAACCACATGTATGTGTGCAATGTCGCCGCGGTTTCTCGCAGAGAACAGCCCTGGTTTATCATCTACGGTATCAGCACTCTGGGCAGAAACCTTATCAATGTCCGGATTGTGGCAAGGGATTCGTGTCCAACGCTTTGCTCAAGAGACATCACAGAATGCATGAGAAAACTACAGCAAACTAAGCTCTGAAATGGAAAACTTACAATGAGTCCGATACATTCCGATCTCTGTCTAATTAGAATTAACTTGTTGACTGCAATTGTAATATTTTATAATAAATGTAACATAAATAATTATGGAATGAGTAGAGATGAAAATGATCAAATTTTACGATAATTTACTCGATAATTTAGTCAGTAATTTATGGAGGCTGGTAAAATGATAATTAAAAAAAATTATAAAGATAAAATAATTTGATATAACAGGTAGTCATTAAGTTAAAAAGATTAAAACCACTTTATTTAATTTAAATTTTCATTTTGATACTACATACTGATATAATAATAATTAAAAAACTATATAGGCACGTAGTAACTATTACAGAGAAACTTTAAATAAATTTTTTGAAAGCAAAAGTGTGACACGTACATTAGTCTTAAACTATATTTTTCATCATACCTTATAAACTTACAACAATTTTATTTGCTTGCTATTTTAGCGACTGTCAAAGATAGTTTTTCCTAGAGTAAAAACAAAAATATAATTATATATATTAAAATATATATAATAATAATAAGGCTCAATAAATTTAAAAAATAATAAAAAAGAAACAGAGCTACGAGCCTAAAAATTCGTT